CCCTCCAAATACAAAAACTACCCCATTGTGAATTATTTAATGTTGAGTTCATCTAGCACTCTGACTCTTTACAAGGCACTTTTTACTTTACCTTCCTAAAAAAAGATATGAGACTAGAAAACTGATACACATTGTGGATAAGAGGCTGGGCTAGTAAAATGGTATTTCCTTTTACATAAGATTAGAGAAATCACCATTCCTAAGTTAAACTAAATTCTATTATTCATGAGAAGGGGTGGTTTGCATAAGAATCCTTTTACCCATAAATTTATGTCCCTTTTCATCTCGATCCAGTCATGAAGGGAAACAGTAGGCCCTAGATTTCTCTTACATTTAAGTACCAGGAATAGAAAAATTAATTTCAGAAATAGATGGTCCCACCTATGTTTATTTTGGAAACTCCAGGTGAGAACTGCATTCAGGGAAAAGGATTTCTTTAAAAGTAGCACTCACATTCCCTCTGAGGACCATTTCTAACACAGCATTTTCTTCACAGCTGCCTTTACATCTTTGTTCCTCAAACTATAGATGAGAGGATTGAGCATAGGTGTCACGACTCCATAGAAGAGAGATATGATTTTGTCTGTGACTTGTACTTTGTCTGCACCAGAGGAGTCCTTGGCCTTGGGTTTTGCATACATGAAGAGGATGGTTCCATAGAATACAATCACCACTGTTAGGTGGGCAGAGCAGGTGGAGAAGGCTTTGCGCCTTCCCTCTGCAGAAGGAATTCTCAGGATGGTGGAGATAATGATAACATAGGAAACAAAAATGAAAAGTACTGGAACCACAAGAAAAATCATGTTAGCAACAACCATGCTAATAACATTTATGGAGATATCAGCACAGGCCAATTTTAAGACAGCCAAGATTTCACAAGTAAAATGATTAATGACATTGTCCCCACAGAAAGGAAGACGCATGGCAAGAGAGGTTTGCAACACAGAATTAACACATCCTGCAATCCAGGACCCAGCAGCCATGGGCACATATGAAGCCTTGCTCATAATGATGGGGTATCTCAGAGGGTTACAGATAGCCACGTAGCGATCAAATGCCATCATGCTTAGAAGGACACACTCTGTGGCTCCCATAGCAAAGGAGAGAAACATTTGCACTCCACATCCGGCAAAGGAAATGGTTTTCTTTGAAGTTGAGAAGCTGCTGAGAAAGAGAGGAATAGAAGAACTGGTGTAGCAAATGTCCAAGAATGATAAGTTACTGAGGAAAAAGTACATGGGGGTATGCAGGTGGGAGTCATAGACACTTACAATGATGATGACTCCATTTCCCAGCAGGATCACCAGGTACATGCATAGGACCAGCACAAAGTAAATGGTCTCAAGCTCTGGGTAGCCAGTAAGCCCCAGCAGGACAAATTCTGTCACAAAAGACTGATTGGTCTTTCCCATGTTAATATTTTCTTTCACCAAAAGGAATTCAGCAGTAGCCACAGTACACGTGAATCTGTTAAAGCAGCGCTTGTAAGAGTTATCTTCATCCTTAAGTAGCTTCCCTTGTGGGTAATATGGACCTATTATTGGATATACAGATAGCATAAGAATATGTTATGATCATCTAAGCTAAGATCAATTAGACTTTTAAATTTCATGAAGAAGTATTTAGCTAAAAAAAGTTCTTGTTAAAAAAACAGATTCAGAACATATACAACTGAGTTAGAATTACATTAGATCTCACATTATGAATTTGAAATTACTTTTAATGCAATGTCTCTATAACATTTTAACCAAACAAATCTAAAATTTATAAAATACTATTGCCCGCCAGGGGTTCAACTATATATATATTTCTCTCTCTCTCTCTCTCTCTCTCTCTCTCTCTCTCTCTCTCTCTATATATATATATATATATATATATATGTATGTATGTATATATGTATGTATGTATATATGTGTGTATATATATACCCCATCATTATGAGCACATATATATACACACATATATACATACATATATATATTTCTCCACAATATGTTAACCTTAACAAAAGTCACTGTTCTTCGGTTACTAAATCAAAATGGTATATGTAAATCTTGCTTCAATGGTAATGCAACCCCAGTTTTAGAAGAATTTTGTGGCTAGGAGAACAAACTGAAAAGATAATATTTTTACAAAAAGAATTTTTAGTTATTTCTAATTTGAGAGAAAATGTATACCTGTAAAATCTTAAGAATATTAACTATAGGCATTAGTAATATTTGTAAAAGAAAAAAACATTTTTAGATAAAATTATTATTCTGTCTTTTTCAGTACAAATTAGAGCCTCTAGGTAATGAGTCTGTCTGATATATATAATGAATGACAAGTTGATCTCAGAAAAATTCTAGTGTGCATGTCTCAATCTAGAGTCAAACCATAAATAAATGTATAAACTAAGAAATTTAAGTGTCAAAGGATTTACTCTTTTACCTCCAAGTATAAGAATATATATTATCTTCAACTTGCACAGGAATCAGCTTCTTGTACTCTAACGGCTGCTCTTCTGTGCTCTACTTCTCACAGCATATTCAGAATATCCATAATAAAGAGGGGTAAGTTACTCAAAATATTCTTAAGTATTAGCATATGTAATAATTATTTGTATCCCCACTTCACTGGAACATAGACTATTTCTATACCAAAATGCCAGAAACAGAAGAAGACCTACATTTTTAATGAAATTGCTAGTCTCATGAATTCCATCTCAGTAAATTCAGTAAGATGACTAAAAAAATTATCTGCTTCTCAGTTCTTATTCATATCAAGTAGCTGCCATTGCCACTGTGTTTTGTTTTTTGTTTTTTGTTTTTAAAATTAACCAGTGGCAAAATAGAACTGACTTCCAGTAAAAATGAAAGTTGGGGCTCTTTATAGTCATTTCACCGTGAGAGGCTCCTTTAAAGAACCAGCCGTTTGAGCACCAAAGCAACTTAAAATCTTTGCTGCTTTGAGGATGCTTCTAATCCCAAAAGCAGTTTCAAGTTCACAATGTGGACTGGATAGAATTTAGAATTAGAAACGTTCTGGTACTTTCAAGATCAAGTCCCTTAGCAGCAATTAAAACAAAGTTACTAATACAATTTAATTGCAGTGTAACTCACAAAACAGAAATAATTCTTCTGACTTTACACCCTCTGGGAAGAGCAAATTTAAAACTGCTACCAGGTAAAATGGTCAAGAGACGGATATTAGAATTGACTACACCTGATGGAGAGATGTGGTAGTAATCTGTGATACTTAGGTTAAAATGATACTTGACCTTTATAAATTATCTGCTAATCACCTTTATTTTGACCTTTAAATCTTGGGAGTCTCAAAGTCTGTAAGCTTTATTCTGGTATTACTGGCCTCTCTGAATAGCCAGAATCACATGCACCGTCATTATAATTTTGCCCACTCATGCTCTCTGTTCAACTACATACACAGTACCCCGAAGTTGTCCAACCTGTTCTTCAGTCATGCCCACAATGGCATGACAGAACTCAGAGCAGACCACATCAACAATTTCCCTGATGAGAGCAAAGCACACTTTATTTATGAACAGGATAAAAAGTTCCAACTTGAAGTGGATAATTATTATGGCACCCGTCATGACTCTCTCTTGAAATCCATATCAAACTTTAAGAATTCAATCATTTTATATAGGTATTATGAAACACACTTCCAGCAAGAAAACTATGAAATCATAGTGTGTACTGTTAAAAAGAATGGAATAAATTTTGATAACAGCACTCTTTTGTGTCAGTGAACATTTTTAAAAAGTTGTTGAACAAAAGATGCAACATAATCTTGAATAATAGGAAAGCAATTTATAACATGAAAGATAGTCATATATGCTTCAACAAATCTAATTTGAACAGTAATTCTCAGAAGTGTTAACTTTATGCAAGCACTTTTTTAGTATACTGGTTCATAATGCAAATGTGGAACATGTTTTCTCATTAATGAGTGTTCAGTGGACAAAGGAATTAAACAGTTTTGATGTGACCACAGTAAAAGCCATATAACAATGCAAATGGAAGATAGACCGTAACTGCAATGAGCTTTATAAGCAAATTATGTAAAACAAAGAAATCTTAAGTAGAGCCAAATAATTATAGAAATATAATAAAAGTTATGTAGTCTAGATGTCTATAATTTATTTCAACTACACAAGTAATTTTAGTACAAGTATTCCCTACGCAATATTTTTCTTTTATCCCAGTATGCATATGCAAAGGCAATTAGAAAAAATTCATATTTAACTGGGTGTCATTTATTTGTATTTGCTAACCTGGCGACCCTAACTTCCTGTGACCAAGACTCACATAGAATTCAGTCTAACCCTGGGTTGCCCCACCCAGTATCACTGCCATTTCTGGTCATTCCCAGAACCCAAGTGAATGTGTGGTACCACTCACAATAATACTGTGAGACAGTACTATTTTCAGAACTTTCAAATCAAATAAGAAACAGAAAGAGAATATGTAGTGTATTTCCCTAAGCCATTCTGAGAGGTAACAGGATTGATTATCTATTGTCTCAAATGTACACGGCCACAACATAAATATCACCTATAACTACATCCCTTCCTCCCTCTCCAGGACAAATATGGTAAGGAGAAACAATTAGGCTGAACTTATTGAGATGTGATCAATTACCACTCTTCAACATTTCCAAGCCCTAGTCTATTCTTTTGTCCCCCTTTCTGATTTCATTCAATTCAGTGTTTACTAATTGAGACCTTCTTATTCCAGAAACTATGTCTGCTTCTTCTCTAGATGCCACGAATTACTTTAGTCCCCTGCCAGGTACTACATCTCATTACAAGAATGCCAAGCCAATGTCTAGGGTTTTAGTAGCCGGATCAACTCCCCTAATTTCAACTACCTATCTATACTCCAAACAAAGCTGGCCCTAGATTCTATCTTCACATTGCTCTCCCCCATGCTTGGGCATGTATCAATCAATACTTTCCCCTGAGGGGCTGGCACACTATTCGAGTTCCCTAACTCCCAGGACCCTCTGTATTTCTTAGTTACATGGTATTCAATTGCCGTCTTCTTGTCCCTTTACCAAGAAGCTGGTATATCTGTCCATTTCAGTCTGTCTAAAGACAAACTAAAAATATAATTGAGGACCACACATATAATCTGGCTCAAGCCTCTTCTGTTCCCTAAAATAATTTGTTCCATTCGAATATGGCTATATGTTATCTAAATTTAGAACAAAATTTTGATTTTACAGTAAGCCTAGAAAATTTAGTTTAATCACCTTGAAGTTAGATAAAAGCAATGTTTTCATAAATTTTTGTTGAATAGACACAGAACCTTTTCTAGGTCTTCAAGCTAAACTTTATCAAAACGGTTAATAGTCACATAACACAGCTATGTCATGACTGGTATATTCACTCGTTTCATGAAAGTCTCTCTCACAGCCTCATTATCATTCTCTCAATTGCTTGCAATATGTTTCTCTAACAGGTAGAGTTTGTACCTGATAGTAAAGAACATATAAAGACATAAGAGTGGCAGATTGTACGGACAGTAAAAGGCAGCAAGTGAATACCAATTAATCCATTGTTGCAGTAAGAAGGAGAAGGTCATTACCTGTCAAAACTGGTCTATAAAGACTGGAAGAAGTGACTGCTCCTTCAAATGCACGGACATCAACACAGGCTACAAGGATAATAAAAAATCAGGCAAAAATGACATAGCCCAGGAAAGTAATAAAGCTTCAGTAACAAACCCTAAAGAAATGGAGATCCATAAACTATTTGGCACAGAATATTTTTAAAAAATTTTAATAAGCTTAATGACCTATAGGAGAACACAGACAGCTAAGTAAAGTCTGAAAAACAATACATGAACAAAACGAGAAGTTCAATAATAATAAAAAAAAAAAACATAAAAAAAAGAACCAAACAAAAATCCTGGAGCTAAAGAATACAATGACTATGAAACTGAAAAATTCAATAGAGAGCTTCAACAATAGACTCAATCAAGTAGAAGAAAGATTCAGCACACTCAAAAACAAGTTATTTGAAATGATCCAATAAGAGAAACAGAAAGAAAAAAGGAATAGAATAAGAGTGAAGAAAGCCTATGGGCCTTATAGGACAGCATCAAAAGTATTATGGAAAGAGAAAGAAAGGGAACAGAAAACTTTTCAAGTAAATAATGGCTGAAAACATGCCAAATCAGGAAGGAAAATGGACAACCTAATGTACATCAACAGATGAATGGATAAAGAAAATGTGCCATATAAATACAAAAAAATATTATTCAGTCTTAAGAAAACAGAGAAATCCTGCCATTTGTGGCAATATGAATGGACCTGGAGGACATTATGATAAGTGAAATAAGCCAGACACAGAAAGACAAATCCTCCCTTACATATGGAATCTAAAATAATCAAACATATTATGAGTAAA